CAGATATGCTTGTCGTGATGTAGATGAAGATGGAGATGTGTTGGAGATGTGTTTACTGTGATGGGGATTAAGACAGAGACATGATGGGGATTGACATGAAGATGTTGTGCAACGATTTTGTCTTGGAGACGAAGATTTCTTTAAAACAACAGTAATGAAAGGAAATGACTAAAATATCCCTCATTTGATTGGACTTAATGAAAAAGGTTAACGACCAATAAACAGAATGACATAACTCTTGGAAATTGACAAACGTAATGAACCAAATCTGAATTTTTAATGTTTAGAAATGATAATCGTTGAAAATTACAAACATTAGGGACCAAACTTAAACTTTACATCTTTTAGAAAAGTAGAGGGCTTAATTTGACTTATTTATGGTGGGACAAATAGAATTTAATGACTTATTGAATAATTCAATCCAATAAAAGCGTGTCATGTTGAAACCGTCACACATTTATTATCATATTAAAGATTTTTTTAATTATATTAATGACAACATCACCTAAAGTATGATGATTTGTCCCGATCCGATGGAAAACCCAGTTCATCTGACCCGAACGGAGACGGAGATTTCCCGCTAAAACGGGTCCTGGGATTGGCGATCCCCAGTAGACTAAAACCTGAGTCCTGGGATTGGCGATCCCCAGTAGACTAAAACATGGGTCGATGGTTGTTGCTCAAACCAGGGTTGGGGTCGAGGCCGGGTATATCCCCAATAGACTCAAACTAACGGATATTCTTTACGAGGTTTAACCGAGGTTTGACAAGGGAGCTGTTACTAAAATCCGGGGCCGGGGGCTGTTACTAAAAACCGGGGCCGGGGATTACGAAACCCGCCCCCATCCCTGTCTCGTTGTCATGCCTAACATCACCAACAAGTTGTATTTGGCATAGTAAATAATTTAAAGACTTCTTTTTGATAAACTGGTTATAACATGTAGGGATGTGTAGAAAGTCATCCGGTCTATTTTAAACCGATCGAGATAATTAGAAGTGATTGACCATAATCAGATATCTAATTATAATCGAGTCAGATCATATATAAAAATTTAACATCCAAATTGGATCGGTCGATTATTTGGATGACAGTCTAAAATCCAATAAAACGAACTGATCAAATCCAATTAGCATTCAATTACCCATCCAATTAGTAACCATATATAATTATCAATATGTTATGATATTGTTTTTTAGTTCTTATTTATACGTAGTGTTTTTAATAAATTAAGAAATTATATGAATAAATTGGTTGAAATGGTTGATTAATGTATCAAAATATCGGATGGATGCAGTATGATGTAATGAGTAACCCATAATAATATCCGATTAACGAAACTGATTCAATCCAGTAATCTATTAGACTGGATTGGATCAGATGTTTAATGTTAATTGAATTGGATGGGGTAATAAAATCCAACATCCATTGAATGGTTGGATCGAATCAGATCCACATAAATCTATTGAATTTTAACCCATCACATTTGGTATCATGTGAGACAAGACTGTTTTCATAAAACACGTAAGACACGACTTTTATATTTGAAACTTCACAGCAAAACACTGTGAAGGTAACCTTTACAGTATTTTTGCTGTGAAGATTCGGCTTTTTTTTAAATCTTCATAGTGTTTTGCTGTGAAGTTTCAAGTGTAAAAATCGTGTTTCACGGATCTTACCAAAACAAACTGATCTCACGTGAACCCAACCAAAACACTGTGAATATAAAAGAACTGATCATTCACATCACTTTGCTATGAAGTTTCAAGTGTAAAAAGGTGGTCTCATGGGTCTCACAAAAACAGACTGATCTCAAATAATCTTAAATATATATATATATATATATATACAATTGTTCAAAAAGCATGTACAGTTTTATATTTAAAAGCTAGATACATATAGTTGGTAAATTTGTCTTGTTTATTTGAAAATGAATTGATTTTGGATATATTGATGGAAAGAGTTGAAAAGTGCTCAAAATGTAAATATTAAATACTTAAAAAAAATAAAATTATTATTTATTAATATATATTTTGAATAATCTTTAATGTATTATTATTTATTAATATATATTGGAATAATCTTTAATGTATTATAAATTTTCTAATATGGAAAAAATAAATGTCTTCGAGATTTTTTTTATTTCAACATATTTTCTAAATCTTTTTTAAAATCGAGAAAATAAAAAATAAAAGGCAAAATTCTTTAAATTTGTAGAATTTTCTAAAACTGGTTTTTTTGGAGCATTTTCAACAACTATGTTATAATATTCACAAAATAGAGTACCAAACTTCAAAATCTCTAAAAAGAATTACATTCAACTCCAAATACAATATTTTAGTTGGTGTCTGGGATTGGTTACAAAAACAACTTATTGATTTATTTCAGTGTTGTACTGGTAATAAGCACTTTTGAGTGTTTGGATAAACAACTTATACCGGTGCCAAACCGGTAATAAGAAGATTTTGAAGAAGTTAAACAATTATAACTTATAATAAGTTGATAACCACTTTTGTAGAAAAAATATAAGTTGTTTCAAATAAGCAATCCCGAACACCCTCTAAATTAGAGAAAAAAATGAGATAGAATGAAGAAATTTGTAAATCTGGAGGAAACAAATATAGCATACTTGTTATAGATGCTGTTAGGAGTGAGAAATGGTATTTTATTATTTTTATTAATACAAGTATTTGAAATTAAATGTTTAGGTAATATAAATAATATCTGATAAAAATTCTTAAAAACCAATTTTTGTGCATTAAGTAACGTTTATTGATGCATATTACTTGAAATTCAAGATTATAAATAAACTGTGTGTAATTACAACTTATTAAAGTTTCATGTTTGAATTCGTGTAACTAACTGAAGATAAAAAAATTCATTTTAATTATAAAAAATCTAAAATATAATTAAATAATTATTAAGTTCTAACAGAATACTTAATAATTATTCTTATAAAAAATCATATTATTAAATCTAAAATAAACTACTTCATATTGAAGCTAAATTAAATTATAATAAAATATTGAATTAAATAAATTACACAAAAAAACTAGAACTTTTAAATAGTTAATTTGATATTAATATTGATATATTTGTTTTTTGAAATGTTATAATATTTTCAAATTTATATTTTATTCAAAAATAAAAAAAAATTATATTTTTCTCAAAACCACATAAAAATCGTATTAAAACATCTACAAAGACAGAATAAAACGAAACATTAAAATCGAGATATATCTCGATACATTTTGCGAGTACCCTTCTAGTTTTATTAAATATGTTAAATATTTTAATAAAATAATTATTATTGTCACATCAAAATAGAGAATATGTGGAGATAATCTAAATATTAATTTCCATATATTAATTTTTAATTAAATTTATTGCGGTTACACATTAATAACTTATTTTTTTATTTGATTATAATAATGGGTTGCATATAAAATTAATACAAACCTATAAATTAAATCAAAGCTATTAATATTAAGATTTTGCTCTATATAAATATTGTATATTTTAAAATAAAAATTAATATTTTAATTTCATAAAATATTGTATCGGAATATTTAAAACATGAAATAAATTCTAAACGTAAAATATTTTGATCGCTCACATGTCTTAACGAGAACCTTGAAAAGCCAAACTGACATCATCGTCTATTTTGTTAGGTTAGATTTGTGGGGTATTTTAAGACGTAGTTTAAAATACTGTTATGACACAATATCTGGTAAATATATTTTTCAGGAAAGAAAACGTCGCTATCATTTTATGTATCTGACTTGTAACATAACGACGTCATTTTAAGAGTAAAAAAAAACCGTTTCTGCGTTTTTCACAAGAAACAAAGTTCCGTATTATCGGAAACAAAATCGACCAGGTTTATTAAATTAATAATAAAAAACAATTTAAATTCCATATTTACGCACAAATTAATAAATCATCAGCATGTGTCGATTAATGTCAAAGGAAGGTTCCTCGGCTTTTTGTACTTTTTGAATGGTTGAATTTCTACAGATAGATCATGTTGTGTTTAAATATCTGTATATTAAAATTCACCTGAAAGTTAAATAAACTGGTCGCAGATATTCATGCTTTTTAAATATAATATTTTTTTAAATTAAATTTAAACACACGAATTATCGTATAAAATTAATAATTGTAAAATCTATACTATATTATAGAGCATTTGACAAAAGCTTTTATAAACCATTTTTAATGCATGAAGTACTGCTTATTGATGCATATTACTTAAATATCAATATTACAAGTAAATTGTGCGTAAATATAATTATTAAAACTTTATGTTTGAATTTGTATAACTAACTGCAGATAAACATCTCATTCTAAATATAAAAAAATCTAAAATATAATCAGGATAATCATTAAGTTTTAACAGAATACTTAATTACTATTTTTATAAATAATTATATAATTAAACCTAAATTAAACTACTTCGTTACGTTAAATTAAATTATAATAAAAAATTTGAATTAAATAAACTACAAAAAACAAAAACTTTTAAATAATTAATTTGATACTAATATCGATATAGTTTTTTCAAATTTTTACGATATTTTATTAAAAAATAAAAATATTATCGCTTTCTCAAAACCACACAAAACCTTATTATATCGATGTAGATAAAGAATAAAATGAAACATTGAAATCAGGATGTATCTCGATGCATTGCACGAGTACTCTTCTAGTATTATTAAATATGGTTTGATTTTAAAAACTTCTGAACGATATGTATATGTGCATATAAATAATTGAAGTTGTTTTTTAGTTTTTATACTGATATATATGTTATATAAATATACATACCAGATAAATTGTTTACAAGTTACTTGTATGTACATTTTTAATTCTTATTTTTTATTACAAAATAATAAAAAGTCTTTGGCTCCATTTTTTTTTAATTTAAAATTCAAATAAAATACTATTCAAAGGTAAAGTAGAGGTTATATATAACTCTTGTTCGAGTCAATGGTTAGGCCCGCGTTACACACAAGGATCGGAATCCTCCGCCACCAATCGCCACCTACTACCTCCCTGTCATCTCTCCATTCTCCGCCGGCGATATTACATTCAACGCCAGCAGCCTCTGGCTCTCTACATATACACTTGGAAGATATATATACAACTACATCAAGTTACACAGTGAAACTGCATAGATAGATATATACAGATACAGGTAACGGAGATCGGAAAATGGCGACTAAGAAGTTTATAGTAGAGGTTGAGCCGGCAATAGAGGCGAAAGATGGAAAGCCGTCGATGGGACCTGTCTACCGTAGTGTGTTTGCTAAAGACGGTTTTCCAGCTCCGATTGATGGTTTAGATTCCTGTTGGGATGTTTTTCGGTGAGTGTTTTCTTAGATCTGTAACTTCTGTTTTTGCTTGTTTGGATTGTGAAAACCGCTTCATATCTCGATTTGGATGGCAAGATTAGAAGTGGTATTGAGATTTGGAACTGGAATCGGAGTTTATTAAGCTTAAATCTTTGAGCAGATTTGCTCTGGTTTCTGTTCTATTTCATCATCCAACTTTCCTTTAATTGAGTTTGCATAATTAATCTGCGATTGGTGTACCGAGTTGACGTCTTCGTATAAATTTTAGTTTTTACACGCTTCTGTTCTCGTAGTTTTGATATAAGGAACATTTCGGAGCATGTTTGACTTTTGTTTTGTTTTAAGTTTTAGTATTTCCTTCGTACAATCGTACCTATGTTTTGGGATGTGTGCGGCTCTCTCTTAAAGATTTGACTTTTTTTGTGTGTGGATGATCTAGAGTAGAGTTGGGTCATTAAAATTAAAAATTGATTTGGGCGAACACTAGTCTCTATGTTAAACCTTGTTTGCTACAAGTCTAAAGACAAAATTCATAAATTTTCATTTTATTTGAGAACAGTTGATCTTCACGCTTTAAAGTTGTCTAAGATGATTATTATCTTGTTGAGATGATAATCCAAGTTTGTAATATGCATGTCCACATGAATCCACGCCATCTGCTTTTGATCTGGCTGAAAAATCTTTGGGTGTTGCTAAACGAACCTCTTTTGGTCAAATCGGGTCAATTGTGCACTATAAATGTCAAAGGAGGGGGGTTGATCTTGAGGAGTGAGAAATTGGAAAGGGGTTTATTTAGCAATAGAGGGGTTCATTTTTGTTTTCACTGCATAAACTAGTACATATAAGATTCAGAAAAGGAAACAGTTCATTCATAGGCTCCAATGTCTGCAACAATGATGAGATTAATGATTTCAGTGCTTGGCTAGGTAGGCAAGAATAGTCCAATGAGATTCTGGTTGTTTAAAATCATTGGTTTGAAGAAAAAAGGCTTGTTCGATTGGTTAAGATGCATTAACTTTGGAAGTTGAGAGTAAATATATGGCAAATACTCAAAAGCAATTTCCCTTGTAACAAGTGGTAAAATGGAAGCGTTTCCTGCTTGATTCCACTTGTTTTTCATAGATTGTTTTTTCTTTATAATATATCTTGATAGCAAAACATGTGATGATAAAGATAATTTGCGATAGGCTTTTAGTCTAAATTTTGTGATTTGCAATGATCATCTTAACACCAATCTAGCATGTGCTTGGCACAGATATTCAACACCAAGAAATGCATTTGATAAAACTTGAAGATTTACATTAAAAACACAAATGCATGTAGACTACGTTTGTATTTGAAGTTGAATTCATAAATGACAAGATACTTGGAAAAAAATTTACAAGCTTACTAGACTAATTTCCTTTTACTGGAAACAACTAGAAGACCTGACCCTGCATTATGAACTCAATCCTTCAGGAGCCCATGTAAAATCTCAGTTCAAACTCTTCGGTCCATTTTTCGTACATAACTCGGTTTCCTAAAAATCATCAAAAACCAACCTGTCTTTTAAATTATGTTTCTTCCAGAGGTCAACCGTGTAGTAGTGAACCAACAGAAGTGTAGGAAAAGGTGGTTAGTTAGAAAGTTGTATTTCTGTTTTACTGCTGTTGCATCTTCTGAAAAGTTTGTTTGGTTATGTTACAGCCTGTCAGTGGAGAAATACCCCAATAATACAATGCTTGGTACCCGTGAATTTGTGGATGGAAAGGTATACTGGTGGCTGCTATGCTTGCCGCTTCACTTTTTAATTATCCGTCCTTTCCTCTTTGATTTTATTTGACTATATTTTTCTGCATTTCACTAATTCTACAGCATGGAAAGTATGTATGGTTGACTTACAAACAAGTATATGACAAGGTGATACGGCTTGGAAATTCTATCCGTGCATGCGGTGTTGAGCCAGTGAGTGATCTCCTGATGACAATCATATAGCATGATAGCATCTTCTCTTTTTATGGTTTCCTAATCACCTGTCACAATGAAGGAGAAAAACATAATTGAATCTTATGTGCAACTTCGGTTTGATCATTGCTTATGAAAATTGATTGATGATGCAGGGAGGACGGTGTGGGATCTATGGTGCCAATTGTGCAGAATGGGTTATGAGCATGGAGGTACTTTAGTATTTTTTGTGGTCCTTTTTGGTTGCTTGTTCTAAGCTGTTAGTAGTATGGCACAATAATATATACCATTTCTATCATATCCTGAGTAAACCATTTTATGTTGTTTTCTATAATAGCAGTCTCTATTTTTAAGCTGTTGTATTAATCCATCCGCCACACCTTCCATTTCTTTTATTTCATGGGTGGTTCTACAGTTTGAGTTTTTTGTGTTGCTGGTTGAGATTGGGGGAGGAAATAATAAATCTTCATCCTGTTGATTCAAAATTTCAGAGCCAATTTTTGAGGGAATTACAGAAATCGCCCCTGGACTATTTCTCAACTTGTTCTCCTCAGCCCTTAAGAAATTTTCTTGCACTTTAAGTCTGATTTTGACTAGTTTGTAAACGATCAAGTCCCTTTGGCTAACACATGTTAAATGATTCCGTTAATTGTGGGATAAATAGGTGAATCATGTTTTATTGATTTTTTTATTATTTTCACTCCTATTTCTTTCTTGAAACAAAAAGAATCCCGGAACCAAGAACATTGTCCCACACAAAACAACCAGACATAAGAACACTTACTGTTCATCTTATCTACATTATATTTTTTCACCATTTCAAAACCCTAATCACCAAGAATCAACAGTCATTAATGCATCCATAATGATAAACCTCGGATCAACATATCGCCATTAGTGCATCAAGTTGAGATTATCCTAATATTCATCATCAATAATCAACAAAAAACAAACCTACATCAAAATCTTCATTCAACAAACCATCAATAATGAACAAAATAGGCCCTAAACAAATTAAAAAGCCCAAAACCCCTCACCAAAAGATCTAAGAGCACAAATCGACAAAGTCAATGGAAGATAAACCTATTAGGATAATAACAAAAAGGTTCCTGTACGAAAATTCCAATCAATAAATCCTAATAAAAACCCCAATTGGCAAAACTATACAAAAATGAAATCCTACTACAAAATTGTCCCTGTACAAACCTTGATGACACCACTGCTTCGATATGGGTTTAAGTTTTCAAACAACAATGATGGTGATAGAATGTGGTAGCAGCATCTGCGTGCACCGTGTGTACCGAGCAATGACTAGATTGACAATCCTGGAGTATATCATGCTTTTGTGAACCAAGCAACATCAAAGGAGAGTGATTATTACTGGATCTGAATGGACTAGATTCATGATCGCTGCTGCATGCTATTCTCTCCAGGGATGGAATTTGATTTGCAAGCGGTTTTGGTTTATTTTAGGACACACATGAGTTTTATTTATTTTCAATTTTGGTTTCTGTTCATAAAGTCAGCTACATGTTCAAGTTTGTAAGAAACATACAAAATAAAATAAAAATGTGCACTTTTGATATTTTACTCTTCATTTGGTGATAGCATTGCAACAAAGTAGTCAAAATTAGACCCAAAGCCCAAAAATATTTCGTTACTGACAAGGAGTGCAGATTGAGAAATAGTCCAGGGATTTTTTTTTTGAGATTCATTCCCAATCTTTCCATGTTTGTAATAATTACCGCCATTCTGTTTTTAGATGTCAATTAGTTTAGTTTTTCTTTGAACCTGATAGACTAGTGTTCTAATACTCACAATTTAATGCAGGCATGTAATGCTCACGGGTTGTACTGTGTGCCTTTATATGATACCTTAGGTAAGTACTCAATCTTATTGCTAAAAGATGTGTAATTTCGTACAGTCCTTTTTTATTTTTACTGTCATCCAGTATATATATTTTACTTTTACCATATTTTGTTTCATATAGGTGCTAATGCAATAGAATTCATTATTTGCCATGCTGAGGTCACACTTGCTTTTGTAGAACAGAAAAAGCTCCCTGAGGTAATCAGTCATCAAGTCTGAATTGGGTTTTATCTGAAGCACGTTAAATCTCATCTTAAAAATTATGCATCATAAACATGTTTTGGGCTATGCGTAGCTTTATGGATGATGAGATATGTTGCAAAATCTTTTGAAGTCAACTGTTGGCAACTCCTTGGGCGGTAGTTCCATAAAAACGGAGTTAACAGACTCATTTGAATAGAAAGTGTTTCTCTCTTGCAAAGTTTGCAGTTGAATCAATTAATTTATGTTGGTCATTCAGGTGCTAAAAACATTCCCCAACGCTGGAGAATATCTAAAAAGTAAGTTACTTCTCATGCCTAATTTCTTGAACATTGATACGCATTTTAGAGATGCTAATATGTGTACTTCCTGTCAGCAATTGTGAGCTTTGGGAAAGTTACTCCTGAACTAAAAGAACAAGCTGAAAGCCTTGGTTTGGCAATATATTCATGGGATGAATTCTTGTCACTGGTACTTTTTTACAACTCTTGTCATGTTATATTATTTCTATTAATATATATGGATTCTTGTTTTAAGAGCGATCACTGTAGCAATGAGTAAGGTACTCCTTTGTGGCCAAAAGCGGTTTTGTGGAACTTTTGTCAGTTTTAACATTCTACAGTACATTTGCTTAAGAAAGTTATTGGGTCATTATTATATAAATTGCTAGTCCATGGATATAGGCAAGCATTTAATATTCTTTCATTAAAAGTATCAGTTCATGCTTAAATGGTCCCTAGTAGTCAATCTTTGTTCCCAAAGTATTTGATATATGTTTTTATGGTATGTCACCAACACAACCATGTCCATTTTCAGCAGCAATTTAGGGTTGTTCTAGAGTACAGCCACCTTTACCTTGACGATGAAAGAAAATAAATGCTAGCAAACAAATTAAAACTCAATGTCAAAAGTCAAAAAGATGTCAAGTCATTGCACATACTTTTAGAAAGAAGAAAAAAATCAACTAGCTCCAATTATCAACCAAATTAATTTGATTTGCAAACAAACTTGGAAATCATTCAGCCATATGCTATGAGCTTTGACTTGCTCTTGTTAGGACCAAGCATGACGGTGATAGTATGCCAATAAATGCCAACCAGCTTTATGCCTGTTAATATGATCTGCTTGGCATTGTAGCCAAGCACCTCATGTTACCCAATGAATGATGCTAAACTTTTCCACATGATGCATTTCAATAATGATACCTATGTGCATAATCTTAAATTCATGTTTGCAATATGTGACCAAGTCCCATGCATGTACTCATAGGCTTGTCCCAACCTGAGGGGTTTCTTCCTTGTGGACAGAGGGAAAAATGACAGAAAGAAATTATATTTTGACTTTTGGATGAGTTGTAATTTTTGTGATTTGACTGATTCCACTTAGTCCATAAACATTAGCAATACCTACTGGCTGCTGGACTGATTCATCTTGCAGAACATCGTTTCCCAGTTTCCCACTGAACATTGATTAACATGCCTAAGTTTCTCAGATGAACTTCTTGAAAATAGTTCCTTTATCTGAAATACCATCTGAAAACTGTTGATTAAGTTAAAGCGTGTTTATTAGCAAACTCTGTTTTACGACTATCTTGCTCAGTGCCCATCAGACGTAGCATCCTGGTGGAAACTTACATGCCAGCTTCACCAATCCAACCATGGCTTTTTAATAGTTCTCCCCTTGGCAGCTCTTGTCAGCTATAAAATAGCTCTTTATGTGGCTGCTAATACTGGTGACACGAGGATTTTCAGTCCTCTGCTCTATTTTTACTAGAAACCATGGCAGCAAATAACTACTATGGTATGAATTAGAAGGCATTTATAAATGAAAATGTTGTAAATGCAACCATGAAGAACAAATGTTATAGACCATCAAGAACCTTGATGACCTCAAGTGCCAAAAGTTTTCCCCCAAAGACCAAACTACCTTATAGGCAGACAATAGGATGACTGTTAGGAGGTAGGACACACTTTGACCTCTGCAAGCATGAAAAGTTGGCGTTGATCTCAGTCCCTGCAAGAACGCAGGCTGATTAGTGTCCTGATAAATTTTCATATAATATTCGGTTTACAAATAAAGGAAAACGGAGGTCTGAAGAGGAGGCTGTAAAGAGCTATCTGTTGGGTGGCTGTAAATATGCTTTGTGGTAGACCATGAAGGATATGTTTTGCACTAATTGCTATCAATTTAAGGGCTCATTGAGCCAATCAGAGTTAAATATTTTGAGTGTCCATGCCATTTTCAAGGAAGATGCTTAATGTGATGTTGAGTGAATACTTCCTTGTGTTGTTGGGCCTTTCTTTCACTGATTACCTTCCTGTTTTCAGATGAGTGATAAGTACTGAAATTTAATTTTTGTGCCTTTTATCTACTTGCAGGGTGATGATAAACATGTTGACTTGCCTGTGAAGAAGAAAAGTGACATCTGTACAATAATGTACACTAGCGGAACAACCGGTGATCCTAAGGGTGTTCTGATTTCCAATAACAGCATTGTAACTCTTATAGGTGGTGTACATCGTCTGCTAGGGAGTGCAAATGAATCAGTGAGTTCCCACCCTTTCATTCAATGGAAAATGTAGCTGGAAAACGATACATAAAGTTGGTAGCTTTTTTGATGTGTGTGTGAAAAGGGATTACTAATTTCCAGGCTCTTCTCATACTTGTCAATGATAATATTTCAGCTGAATACACACGATGTCTATCTCTCATTTCTGCCTCTAGCACATATATTTGATCGGGTTATTGAAGAATGTTTTATCAATCATGGGGCCTCTATAGGATTTTGGCGTGGGGTAAGATACTGAACTTTTTGTACTCTATAGTAGACGTATCATATCATAATTTGGATGATTATATATACAGGATGTTAAATTGCTGATTGAAGACATAGGGGAGCTGAAACCTACTATTTTCTGCGCTGTTCCTCGAGTTTTGGATAGGATTTATTCAGGTATTTTGCTGTGAGTGGCAAGGTTTCTTCGTATATTATTTGTTTGTAGACTGACTTCTTATGGAAAGTGAATCATGAACTGGGTTTTTAATTTTTTTCATTGATTTCTTTCTTTTTCTAATGATGTTAAACCAGATTTTACTCTCTTTAATGTTATTTCTTGTTCTTTCCCTGTTTTCTTTGATCGACAAGAGTTCTAGATTGTAATGGTAGATTTTATAGGAAGAGAAGTAAAATATGTATACTTTTGACTAATCTAGAGTTATTCTTGTTTTTACCGAAAATTGTGAGAAGTTCAAGTTATATAATAGTGCTGTAGAGGGAGGTTAGGGAAAATCCCCAAAAAATAAAGAAGTGAGGAGAACCCTGGTAACCATTCATCTGGACAGCATGCACATATGCATACATGTAATTGAAGTTGTTTCTTGGTTTTATGCACGTGTGCATGCTATGCACATGTGCATACCCAACAAATTGCTTACAAATTATTTGTATGCACATGTGCATACTGTCCAAATGGACGGTACCAAGGTGTTGCTCAATTCTTTTTGCGGTTTTCCCCTGAACCTGACTCTAGTGCCTGTAAGCCTGTAACGCCCCATAGCCCAAAGTAGCAGAATGGCCCGACAACCTCCAAATCAACTTAAAACCATGGCGGAAGTTATTGGTACCCTTCAACTTTGAGGGAGTTAATCTATTATATTATATGTAAACTTAGAGCTCTTTGTACATGATGAATAATGGTTTCAGAAAAGCAATCACTTTTTGCTGGTTAATTTTCTTCAAAGTGCAATAGTATGCATAGTATACATGGTTTATGCATTTTGCTATTAGTAAATATTTCTTTCTTTTTTGTCAGGTTTGCAACAGAAAATATCTTCTGGGGGTTTTCTCAAACGTAACTTGTTTAATCTTGCGTATTCATAGTAAGTATTTCTTATTATCCGGACTAAGCTTAAATATCAATTTCCTTTGCAAATGCTTTGTTTTGTTGCGTGGAACATCTATTTTCTAATTATATTTATAATATTAAAAGCAATAATCATCCATGGTGCATTTGGCATCCCGACTGGATAGAACAAGACAGAAACAACCATTTGGCATATGGTAAGACAGAACTGATAAAAAGGACCAATTTACCCCTAATGAGTTGTTTATATATTCTGATTAATCATTTAATTTATTAAAATATAATAAGATAAATATTTTTTATGACAAAATATATATATTAGAAAGTTTTCTTCTAGACGATTAAAATGACACCAAAATAAAAAGTTTATGTAGTTTCCAATTTTTATTTTATACCTTTTCTATACTATTTTCTATTATTAATATCTAATAAATTATATAAATTAATCAAAATATAGAAATTGTATAAAAATAATATTTTGGAGACAGTAAAGTGAAAGTTTAAAGAACATAAAATATAATAAATAAAATTTAAAGAATGAATAAAAGGTAAAGATGAAGCGTATTTGATGTTCTAGATATGAATTAGGTTTTATTTTGAGGTTATATTGGTAAAACACTAAAACATAAGTCTGTTTCAGCTTGTTCCATGGGGTATGTTCCACCTTGTTCAACATAAAACTCTTGCCAAACATGGACCAATGATCCCTGTTCTGTTAGTCCTGTCTAGCGTACCAAATGCACCCTCATTGAACAGTCATGCACCGTGTCTGATTTCAGTATTTCTGAGATATACACTTTACAATACAGTAGTTTCCTCCATTCGGCATATCCTTGACTGAGCATTTTCCTTTGTAAATTTCGAAGACAAAGCTCATCTAGTTTGAGGAAGAAGTAGCAATGCCTTTAAGTTTTGTATTACTCTTATTGATTTGGATCTGCATGCCTAACTCCTGCAGCAAGTTACATAATATGAAGGGAGGGAAAAAACATTCAGAGGCATCTCCATTAAGTGACAAAATTGTCTTTAGTAAGGTGGGGTATCTACTTAAAGGAGCTTCCTCATCTTTTGTACCCTTTTCGGCGTTATTCCTTTAACGTGATAACGGTGGCATGACTCTTGATGTATTTCATTTCTGCAGGTAAAACAGGGACTAGGAGGGAATGTACGCATTATTTTATCTGGAGCTGCTCCACTAGCTGCTCATGTAGAAGGTTACCTGAAAGTGGTGGCATGCTCGCACGTCCTTCAAGGATATGGTAACTCCCCCTTTTAGGATACGTACTTCTGAAGTTTTTATATGCTAGATCATCACGAACAAGTTGTAGCTTGCTGTTTTTTATTCATGGCATCACGATGGGTTCATTTTATGTTAAGATCAAGGCTCTGAATGACATGAGGCGTGGCAGCGAGGTCAAGCCTCAAGCCTTACGAGTTACAGCGAAGACACAACGTTTTTGAAGGCGTGCCCTGAGGCGGCACTTACACTTGTGTGTGTTAGTGGTTTGAATAATACCATAGAACAAATTAAGTTCATATAAAGTAATAAAACTAAAAAAGAAAGAACCATTGATGCCAAATATATATAGTATATAGAAAATGATATCCTGAATACAATAATCATGATTAAATCTCTTGAATCTCTACTCACTACTTTCTTCATTTTTCAAATAATTCGTGTTCTACTACTCATTTACGAGAACATTTACCAATTTAGGGCTTTAGTCTTTTAAGTTCCCTTTTTATGTTTATTTAAGTCTTAGGTCCTGTGCATAATTATCATTTATCCCTCAAGTTATATATTAAAAAACCCAACACCTTGCAAAATAATGCGCCATACAGCGTCGCAACGCGCCGTAACATGTTATAATGAAAGGCAAGTGTTAGAGTTGAGCCACCTGGGTTAATGTGGAGGCGAAGTCAAGCTTTGACGCCATAGCGTGATATAACGAGTTATTTAGAACCATGGTTTAAGGTCATGATAGGAAATCTTGATCTAGTGGACCTACGGCCCTATCTTTTTTATTTGAAGTATATAAATATTTATATACGGCAAAACTCACACACATTCTTCACATTTGGTTACGGCAAAACTCAACACACATTCTTCACACTTGGTGATGCCTGAACCCTTGACCTCCAAGGAGGTTGGGATCTACTGATAACCTGGATGTTGTTCTCCAAGGAGGCTATCCCTAATTTACCAGATTTGTTCTTTCCCTGTTCTATTATTTTGTCAGTGAACAAACTTACGTTATTTGGTTAAGCATGGAGGGTGTGATAACGATGTTCATCATAGAATAAGAGCATGAAGATGAAGTGGCACTAAGCCCCGGATCCCTGGGGGTTCACTTCTTATAACTTCTGTTTTGTTTCATATATATTTACCTGTCTTGATTATTTTTGCTATTCTACTGAGCATTTTATCTGGATGATCCTATACGATGACGTGGATGTGGAAATTACGACAACATGTGATGTTTCTGTAGGTCTGACGGAAACTTGTGCTGGATCATTTGTCTCGCTGCCAAATGAAATGAGTATGGTGGGTACAGTGGGCCCTCCAGTACCAAATTTGGATGCTCGCTTGGAGTCTGTTCCTGAGATGAATTATGACGCCCTTTCAAGCAAACCACAGGGAGAAATATGTATAAGGGGGGATGTTCTGTTTTCAGGGTACTACAAGCGTGAGGACCTTACAAAAGAAGTCTTAATCGATGGCTGGTTCCATACAGGTATGCCTTCAGAACGGTCCTTGATTTAATATCGTTCTTTTTGGTAGTATATAATATTTATATACATCAGAACTCACACACACACTCCTTGCCTTTGGTGAGGCTATTACCCATGACCTCCTCCATGAAGGTTGGGATCTATGGTAACCCTAATACCGTTGGGCCTAGGGGTGTAAACGATACAAGACAACTCGCGAGCTACTCGATATCGACTCGGTCAATGCTCGGTCAACTCTTAGCTCGAATAGGCTCCGCTTGAACTCGAGCTCGACTCGACATACTAACAAGTCTAGTCGAGCTACGCAATACTAGACTCAAAAAGCTCGTGAGATACTCGGTTTTTTAAAAATATAATTAGTTTTATTATATATTTTGTAAAATATAATGTATTTATTAATAAACTTACCAACAAAAAATGTCGTATGTTGTTTGATGTTTTAACAAAATTATACATTTTTCAACTATAAAAATTAATTGATTATTTTTATTAAAAAACAATAAAAAGTGTTGGTGAAGTGGTCCCACCTTGGAAAAGAGATACTAAACGGTGAAGTTGTTCCATATTGGAAGAGAGACACTAAAGGAAGGGTGAGTAGGTGTTACAGAAAAAGAGGGAGGTGATTGAGATTTTTAACTTTGTCATTTTGATGATGAAATTTCAGGTGCATTCTTGAGTTTTATAAAGTTTAAGAGAACACCTTTAAGTTTTATAATTTATCAGAGAAGACCCTAAAATTTCATAAATTCAACACATGAGCTTGATTCGAGCTTGGTTCGAGTTTGAGTTTGAGATTGGTTTGAGCAGCAAACAAGTTTGAGTTTAAAAAATTGCAATCGAGTTCGAGTTTAGTTTTTAACTACTCACGAGTTTTTGAGTCGAGTTCGAGCTTGAAAAATGGCTATCGAGAGTCAAGTATACTGATACTCGAGCTCAACTCGCATCATTTACACCCTTAGTTGGGTAATGACCAAAACTGTCTTACTATTATTCTCGGTACACTTTCTTCTTCTAAAACCAAAATTATGCTTTCAGGTGATATTGGTGAGTGGCAACCAGATGGAAGCATGAAAATTATTGACCGTAAGAAAAACATCTTCAAGCTCTCACAAGGAGAATATGTAGCAGTTGAAAATCTGGAGAATGTTTATGGACTTGTTTCCGACCTTGATGCGGTATGCATTCTAACAATACCATATACATCATATGCTGATGAATACATATGTTTGCCATCGTCGATTCATGTTTTTGAGACAGGCCTAGTATGCTTACTATGCATTTGTCTTCTACTCCTACTGTCCCAATAGTCAACCAAAGTGTTTGACTATTAAGGCCAGTTTATTAGCAGCTTAATGGGGCTCGCAACTTATTCGGTCAGCTATAAATGACTGTTTGGTAGTGGCTTAATGATATAGAGAGTGGCTTATTCATTAAGCTTCTAGAGGGGAGATTTATGCAGAAAGCCAAGTTTTTTTCAAACATGCCCCTTCCAATTAAACCGTTACAGATGATAGAAGAGTTTGTAAGTTGACAAGCGAACATGTTTCTTGGAGAAGTTTTCAAAACCATGGTAGAAACCTTGCACTAGTTCATATATTTCTTCTTTTAATTGGTAGCTATGAGACTTTTTGTAACTTCCCAAGGCTCCACACCTGGACTCACAGTCTTAAATGCGTCTGATAGAGTAGGTATCTTGTCTCTTATAAGACAACCTTTTTTCCGTCCCCAACCAATGTGGGATCTTGCACTCTTCATATCAGCAAAGGTACTAGGGGTGAAAAATTTGTCCCGCTAATGCTCACGAGTGTTATTATTGTGGAGATCTCAACATTATGAAGTTAGTATGAATCAAGCAGTTAAGAGTATGTCTGGGAAACTAGCTGATACGCTAACTGATAAACTAGTCATAGTTGGTGAATGCTAGCTGATAAGGTAGATGATAATGTAAAATTACCTAAAAGGGCATAATTGGAAAGAAAAAAAACCCTGGAGCATATTAAAACGTTACTTGAAGTGGCGTTTCAGAAAGCTTAGCCTATAGCTTACCAAACGAACGTTCACTTTCTATTTCAGGTATGGATATACGGGAATAGCTTCGAGTCTTGTCTTATTGCAATTGCCAACCCAAATAAACAAGCGGTCGAACAATATGCTGAAGCACATAATATTTCCGGGGATTTCGAGTCCTTATGTGAAAACCCGAAGATTAAGGAATACATACTTGGAGAGCTGACTAGAGTTGGAAAAGAGAAAAAGGTTTATCTCAATATTTTCTTAAATTACCTTCTTAACCCTTATCTATACATATATATATATATATATATATATATATATATATATATGTTATATATATGCAATATTTCACACTAACGATTTTCTTGCAGTTAAAAGGTTTTGAATTCGTGAGAGCTGTTCACCTTGATCCCGTCCCTTTCGACATGGAGCGTGACCTTCTGACCCCGACATTCAAGAAGAAAAGGCCTCAAATGCTCAAATATTACCAGGTATGTGAAAATCTCCACACATGAATTATAAGGCATGACTTATATTTAGGACTTGTTTGTTAGCAGCTTAATGGGACTCGCAACTTATTCGGTCAGTTATACATGACTGTTTGGTAGTGTCTCCTTAATTATATAGAAAGTGGCTTATTCAGTAAACTTCTAGGGAAGAGCTTTATGTAGAAAACCAAGTTTTTTCCAAACCTGCCTCTCCTAATTAAAGAACGTGCTTCTTCCATCTGTGGAAAACTCTTCCAAACAAAAACATTTCCCGTCTATAGACAGATTAATCAACAAGGACAACTTCCATACAAGACTTGATAAAAAACCAACCAAACAGCCAGATTCCACATTAAGTAGCCTAGAGGGAAATTCAAAAGATCCCCCCTCCCCAAAAAAAAGAAAAGAAAAAAAGAACAAGAGAACCCTTATCAACAGTTGGATCTAAAAAATAGATGGTTTAGATTCGAATGTAACCACCCTTATTATTCACAACCGTTGGATTAAAATAGACCGATGGTGAGGATTCGTGTTTTTATCTTTTATATCGTCTTTCATATAAATTAAAAAAAACCCTCATATTTTTGTTTTGTTTTGGTTTTGCAGACAGTAATTGATAACATGTACAAGAATATTAACAAGAAGTAAAAGATGGTGTGGTGTCTCCTCTTCTAATTGGGTTTTTTCGATCACCTCTGGATTTGTTTTGATCCTATTTTCTTGGGTATGTGACTGTACAGTAGTGTTGTTACATATATAATATATAATATTATATATATATATATATATATATATATAAAATATATTTCCAGATTTTTTAATTCATATATTTCACTTTTTCCTATGAATAAACAACTTTATGGTAATGGAACTTCACTTTTCCTTGTAGTTTGATTTTGGTTCAGTTTTGTTTCTTATTGGTTTTAGCTTGGTCTCAAAAATTAAAAGTGTCTGAAGGTTTCAGACTCAAATCTAAAGAGAAATAAAAATATTTTTGTGGCTATGAAGGTATAAATGTAGTGACTCTGGGTTAAGTGTAAAACAAGTGTTTGTTCTGGGATTAGTCGGATAACATAGCGGGTTGATATCTAGGTTAATGGAAAAAAAAAACTTCTTCTAACTTTAGGTAATGAGAGACGAAAACAAAAATGAATCGTAAACCAAAAAGATGAAAACAACGATACATTTTAATCATAAATAAGAAAGCTAAATATCGTGGGAATAAAAGGTTAAGAGAATGTTCTTAAATGAATTTTTGAACTTTTTTTTAAAAAGAATCTATTTTGAAGATGCATTTATGAATTGACGTTACAGATTATTCATATATATATATATATATATATATATATATATAATATGAAAGTTTCAATGATATATGAACTGTCTTTAACATTTCCTTCTTATATTTTCACGATACTTAGGGGTCGTTAACCCAAATACTTACCCGATAAGCGTTTATAATTAGGAGTCAACACTCCTACTTACCTTATCGAGTAAGAATCTAATCAATCAAAATGATATTGTATGTAACAATTTATCTGGTAAACACTAAATGGGTAAAAGTCATCAACCTCATTTGTTAGGTAAAACTCTTGGTTCTTGCCATCACTTTTACTGGATTCTTGGTCTTTATTATATTCATCCAATAAGCTAAGTGACCTGATAAGGGTTTACCAAGTAAATGTTAAAATAGATAACCCCTTAATCTCTATATTTGAACATCCTACAAAATAATTAATAGATATATAATAATTAAAATAAAAAATAAACACTGATCGATAACTGAATGAATAAAACCATTAAACACATTAACAAAAAAACAAAGACGTCATTTTAATGGTTTTTCACATCTAAATATTAAATTACCCGGTAATTATATATTTCTAATAACAAGAAAAAACATATAATTTATATATTTAATGGACTTTCTTTTGAGAACTCATAAAATTGTGAAAATCTTGAGAAATAGTGCATCATTATGATTTTTTCCATCTAATGCTAAGATTTAAAATATCGATTAACATATATTTGTTTCACTGTATGTTTATTTCATACGTTTGAAACAAAAGTTACATGTAAAAAAGTTTCACATTGTAAACAACATACATATGAAGCAAATATGTTGTGAAACAAATATATGTTCATCAGTACATTAAATTCTAGTCTTAGATGAAAAAAAAATCATGGAAACAAATTCTTAAAATAGAAGTTCTCGTGATTATCACAATGTATGGAGTTCTCAAATGATTAAGCTCCTATATAGGGGCCAATTCAAGAGAGAACTGATTATTTTGTGGTAACAATGAGATTCAATATGAACTACTCGTTTGAGATATGTTTAAGAACATTTCTTAAATAAGCTAAAAGAGTAATATAGTAATTCTATTTTTGACAACTAATCTAAATATTTAATTAATTTTTTAGATATAGATATTTAATTAAAATTAGTTACCTAGTATATCAATTACCTAATATACATCATATTTTAAAGACGTTTGTAATAAAAATGTATCATAGTAATAACGTGCACAATGTTTCACGTGTATCACAATATATGTTCTTTGTTATTTTCATTGTTTTACAAAGGGTATCACATTGTGCATCTTGTATGTATATCTAGGTATCACAATGAATATCGTCTATAAATATCACAGTATGTATCTTGTGTTCACATAAGGTTCATCGTTTCTAAAGTGCACAACTCTTAAACCGCAAAAACAACTTACAGAACGAATGACCAAACTACGAAAAGGCGGAACATAAGACATAAAATGTGTTGCAATCTATATTCATATTGGAACTTTAGATGTTGCCAAATTTACAACACAAAAACACACACCAAAAACAAGCAAAAAACACCTTCAAAATCCTAATTTGAAGTACAAAAAAACACACACACAAAAACAAACAACTACTCTATCTTTCCACTCAACTAAAAGATGAGAAAGAGGATGAGCATTTTATCTCTTCACTCCTTTCTTCCTCCATACTTACACACCACAAAAAGAATCACAACTTGAAAAAACCCCATTCTTGCAGGCCTTCACAAATCTTTAAAACCCCATAAATTTTTAACCTCAAGTTTGCATGTTATCGATTGATTCGCATTCTTGATCTTGATTTAAGCCAATGTGTAGCTCGAGACCGAAACTTCTGCGGGTGAAGCCGTGTGGATGTACACAAACTCCATGGTTTTCCCAGCGGGTAATGATCGAACCCATGTTGGGAACCCATATGAGCCGCCTGTGGTCTTGGTTAGACCCCATAGTGGACCGTAGAGCTTGGAGACCGATAGATTGAGGTTCTTGATGGTCTTGCTAGATTTGTTAGCCACAACAACTGAGTATCTGTAGTATGTTTTCCCATTGGCCACCCATGAAGTTGTAGTCTTTTGTTCAATTGCAATTGGAGCTGAAGGAAGAAAAGATAGCATCTTGAATCAGATTTTTTCAATAAATTTGATGATTTTGAGTATATTTCGAAGAATGCAACGATTTTCTGATCAGGGTAAGCTTTGTTTTTCCATTTTACCCACAAATTAGTAAGAAAAGATCAAGATTTTCATCTAAAAACACCAAAAATTTACCTGCAGATGAAGTTTCTTTAACTGGGGTAGGCTTTGGTTGAACAGCAATAGGCTTAGCAACAGGAATTTCAACTGCAAACGGTATCAAAAACGTATTTAGTCGAATGAAACCACAAAAAACGCATCAAATACACGCAAATTGAAACATACCCGGAAGCAGCTGGTTGTAGCCACCATGACCACCATGTAGCCTAGCCAATATCCCAAGAAGAGGAGCGTTGTTATAAGTAGCAGGCTCGGTTTGCTCATAATTGTCTCTATGGTCCGCGAAATTGTCATAGGCATCGGGTCCACCAACAATGGCACCAGTCAAAAGATTCGGGTCACTTGCTTTCCTACTGAACCATGTTGCATAACCACCTCTACAACTAACGAACGATGGGTTAACCTTAACCGAAACAATGGATGAACCTCTATGGTGCACTTGTTGTGGGAAGTTGTTTCCATATCCAACCATGTAACTTGTTGCTCTTGGGTTGTCTCCAAGAATGTAATCCACCTAATAAAAGCCAAAAGATTTAGGTGGTGTTCGGTTAAGGTATTAAACGGTTTTTTCAAGTTGTTATCTGTGGGGACCCATGGGATTAGCCATGGTGAGCCCAAACATGGCTTTTGTTTACCTGTGACTTAGCGAATGCAAGTAGCTCCGAGGGGGCAACAGTTCCCGAAGAACATTGTAGGCTTTTTCGGGCGGACGTCAAGTAATCGGAGTACACGGTGAGGAGGAAAGACGCACTCGTGACAAATTGCAAGTTGTTCCATCGTTGCCTGAAAATTAGACCACCGGGAGTCTTCTGCACGTTGTGGCTACTCTTTCCAAGACAAGAACACATGAAAAATTCTGCCTTTTCTTGGTACTTCCCGAACACAGGAGCATGATTTCCTGCTTTCCCTCCCATTAGAAACTACATAAAATCAACCGAAATACAAAATCATCAATACTTCGACCAAACCAACGTATTATTCTACATAAAGACACGTAGAACTCCTTTGAATCTCTCTTCAAAAAAATTCTTATGAAAAAAGGGTCATCTCTAGCCCATGTGAGACTCCAACACGCGTTGTATGTCCAGCCTATGTGGACTCCAACCCGTTTCTTAATGGGAACTAGACAATGCCTCCTATATATATATATATATATATATATATATATATATATATATATATACAAGTTTGATTAGTGGTGAATAAGTAAACTGGGATCCAGAAATTGTAGTTAGGAGTACCTTAGCGACAAGGGTCTGAACCCCGGCATACTTAACATCCCAACCGAACTCAGTCATGGCCCACCCAGTCCCGCCAAGAGCATCGCCATTTTTACCCAGGTAATCCAAGTAGTACTCATTGCCTGTTGCCTTGTACAACCAAGCAGCTCCCCATAGCAATTCATCCTGTCCATACACAAAGGGTAAATATGTAATTTTTCAACAAGGGACACAAGGGTAAAATATGTAACTTTAGACAAAGGGTAAAATATGTAATTTTAGACAAAAGATACAATGTAATTCTGGACAAGGGTAAATATGTAATTTTAAACAGGGGGTTGGGTGAGACAGTTAAGATTGGTAGTTGGGAGAGAGATTGTGATCACGTACAGCGTATCCACTGACAGAGCGGTAGTATTTCTGGGCCACGGTGATGCTACTGTCATATTTACCCCTGTATTTGTCGGCAAAATCGAATAGCTGAAGACAGAAACACAGTAGATTAGCGACACGTAATAAGGGTAAAATAGGAAAACAAACTAGGTCGTGATACAGTACTGCCACCGACAGCTTTAATTAAATTACAACTTTTTATATGGTAGAGATCTACGGTGCTTAGCAAATCTGTACGGTGCGTCCACATCGTCCGTGATGGACAGCAAACATTACCCTAAACTTTTATCACCCTAACATCTGCGCCGAAATAAATTACCCACTTATATTTTCTTTTTAAATAAATTAATTTGTCGATACTAAGATGTTGTTTGTGATTGCTTATAAAAAAAAACTTATTGACTTATTCCAGTATGACACCGGTAGTAAGCACTTTTAAGTATTTGGATGAACAACTTATACCGATACCAAACCGGTATTAAAAAGTTTTTAAAAAAGTTAAACCCTTCTAACTTATAATAAGTTGATAAATGTTTTTATAGAAAAGTATAAGTTATTTCAAATAAACAATCTCAAACATCCTTTAAACTGTCTGTATATATTATAAGAATTTTTATTAGTATGGAAGGAACATATTTTTAAATTGAGAAAGACAAATTTAGAAAAAACTTAACTTACTGCATAAAACTCCCTCTAGTAGTTACTGAATAAATTATTTTCAATATCATTAAGCCAGTATCAAACAATCATATATAACTGAACGAATAAGCTATGAGTCTCATTAAGCTCACTAAGTTGCTAAGAAACAAGCTCTTACTTATACATATTAAAAAAAGAGTTGTTCTTTTATATTTTTAATGTAAAATTTGACCTGATTTTGACGTAGATAAGTATGCAGTGGCGGATCCAGGAAATTAATGGTGTGGGCCACGTTGGATGAGACTTGGGGGAGAAAAGCATATGAGACTGAGGAGAAACCATGTAAGACGAGGGTGAAAATAGAAAATTTAAACTGGTCAACAAAAGTTTTTGGTTTTTGACTGGGGCCTTTCCCCCAATGCTTAAAGGCTGGATCCACCCTTATAAGTATGTATATAGCAATGCCCTTGTTTTCCTTTGCCCTTTCATAGTTTGGATTTAGATTTAGGTACCAAATACATTAGTTATTGTACAATCATATACCCTCCTCACCTTTAATAAGGTTTGAACTTCTGACCTCCTAGGAGGTCAAGGACTACAATACTGTTAAACCAAAGACCTTTTAATTGTACAATAATAGGTTAAAATAGGCAACATATAGAGTAATTAGTAAAAAAACATGGAACAGGTATCACTATATATACACATTTTTATATTAAAATCAGATTATTATATATATATATATATAAGTTTTAATTTTAATATATCTAAATTTAGAAATTATAGCTCTGGAAATGCACTGAAAAAAGGGAGGGTGGCATTATAGGATAGGCGCAGTATAGTGGTTTCCACCTCTGCTAACATAAACCGCCAACAACCTGGCAGACAATGAAGTTATTAACCGCAACTGTTTTTCAGACCAACCGCTTTGCTAACATACGCCATTCTTTTTACTAATGTACGCATTGGTCATGGTGCCCACAATAGCCTCAAATATGCTTAATGTTCACATGGGATTTTTTTATTATTTAATTTTTTTATTATAATTCTACGAGTCTTACTTGTACATTATGTATTAAAAGTTACAAGTTTAAAATTACGAGAGGCTCACTGACCTGGTACGCGTGGGTGAGAAGCTCTCGAGAATAAGCCGGGTTAGAGCGACGGAAGACAATAGAAGCGGCAGCCATAGCAGCGGCAGTTTCTCCAGCAAGGTCGGAGCCAGGGTTATTTTGGTCAATTCTGTAAGCATTTCGAGAAGTGGTCATGTCTTCGGGTCTTTGCCAACAATAGTGGTCTGTGTTACCATCTCCGACCTATAATAAGAAGTTTATTTATATCAATATCAACCGTTATTACCATAAAAGTCTCAAAAATAGTAATTATGACTCCAATGTTTCATTTAGCACCGTTTTGATTTTACGGGTTCTAATTTGTAGGACCCTCAAAATTATACTTTGCAATCAACATCAACATCAACATCGTTACCACAAAAATCCACACATAATAATTTTTATTTCTCCTTTCGTTAAACTTTCGTTTTCTTTTACAGACCCTGTTTCTATTAGTTTATAACGGAAAAAAGCTCGCAAAATCATCAAGACTCGTTTTCCAAAAAAAAAAAGCGCCCTACAAAATGAACGTTATTCCACTTTGATTTCGAAAATCGACTTTCTGAAAGCGATTTTTCAAAACGATCTTTAAATACCAAAGGGTCGTTAGCCTAAAAGTAACACATTCTTTCATATTAAGCAAATTTATTATAAGTTAGAATGGTTTAGCTTCTTCAAAAACTTCTTATTACCGGTTTGATATTGGTATAGTCTGTTTATCCGAACACTCAAAAATGTTGATTACTGGTGTTATACCGGAATAAGTCAATAAACTGTTAAAATTAAATGGAGAAATTAAAAGGGTAACCTCTCCATAGAGAACATGAGGTTGAGGGTGAGCTTTAATGAGGTAATCAGTTCCCCATTTAACAGCATCCATGGCGTGACCAAGCTCACCACTCTCACCCATTTGCTTTCCATACTCCATTATACTCCATGCCATCATCGTCACTGTAAACGCCATTGGAAGCCCAAATTTCACATTATCCCCTGCATCATAATACCCTCCCACCAGATCCACCTTCAAACAATTTCAAAATCGATTACAACACAATAATATGCAATTGATGGATTTCCAGATTTCCACTTTAATTTCATCAAATAATCGCAAAATCAGAAGCAGAATTAGTGAATTCACATACCCCATTGGCTTTTTTGCCATAGAAAATTTTCAAATCAAGTATAATACCCAATTTGGGGATTTCAATTTGGGGATTTCGAGTTTGTTTTCATCAAATCAGAAGCGAAATTAGTGAATTGACGTACCCCATTGGCTTTGCCATCGAAGAGACCAGAATTTCCTCGCCATTTGACTCTTTGATTTCCAGGAAGATAACCAGATCTCTGAGCTTCGAAGAACAGAATGCTTTTGCTTAAAGCTTCGCCGTAGTTATGGCTGCCGCCAGCTAAAGCCAAAGGTGCAACACCCATAAGCAGAAACAGAGTGGTTGCCATTGAAACGATTCCCATTATTATGAGAATAACCAATTACAATCGGAATTTTCAACACGAAATCGAACAAAATGGGTGAGTTCGAATGGCAATGCTGGTATTATTTACCAGATTTCTAGAGAGAGAGAGAGAGAGAGAGAGAGAAAGTAGAGAGAGAGAGAGTTGGGGAAGAAGGTGGAGGAAAAGGGGTAGTATATATGGAGGAGAAGGAAGAGAAGGTGCCAAAAGTAGAGATTAATTAATAATTAATTATAAATGCTAATAATTAATTTTAAGAAAATTATTTATTGGAATAAAAATGATGAAGGAAGGGTTTTTTATTTTTCAACTTATTTGTACAAGTCAAAGTTCATTCAATCAATCATAATTTTTTATTTTGTTCATTTTTTTTGTAATTATGAAAGGTTGATCAATTATTATTTTTATTGTGAAAAGTTTTAATCATCAATATTATCATCTTCATTATATTAATTTTAGAAAAATACACGAAACAGTTTCATTAAAATTTCATAATATTATATGAAACAATTTCATCAAAAAAAATAATATTATATGAAACAATTTTTTAAGATTAAAGAATTTTAATGAAAAAATTTATAAGATTAAACAATAAAATCGATGGACGAGGATGGTTTACACGGTTTGTACAAATATGAGTGGTTTTCATGTGATCGCTCATCTATACATATATATAACTATGTATATATATATATATATATATATATATATATATTCAGTATATCGGTGTAGATTTATTTATTTTTACTTATATATGTATATACAACAGGTGTATCCAAGATTCTTTCCAATTATATATGTATATACAGGGGGCGAATCATTAACATTTTATTATGCGTGTTTATATATACCACAGGCGGCTCGAGAACTCTTTTTGATTATGTGTATATACGCCACAGACGAATCAATGGATTTTTTTTCTTTCCAATTATGTATAAATATACCACAGGCGGATCAATGGTTTTTTTTTTTATTTCCAATTATGCGTGTATACCGTAAGCGGTTTCATAAATTTTTTACAGCGTTAACAAAAAATAATTATTTTAACATAAAATAAAATAATTTAATTAAAATAACAATTAATTATGGTTACAGATTACAATATGAAAAATTAAAAAGTCAGTTTTAATCTATGTAATTTACGATATGGGTTGCGGGTTTCATGATTATTAACCGTTAAAACTCAAATTTAAGCCATTAGTACACTACGGTACTCTCTTAATTCTCTGACAACGATGACTACTGATAATACATAATGAATTACAATAATAGCACCGTTAAGAACCCTAACATATTTACATGTGAATATACACTGTAATTTCCTGATTTAAAAAACCCTTAAAAATATCAATATTTCTGAAAAACAACAAATTATATTAAAAATGAGCTTAAAAATTACATAGCAGGGGGGGTTTAGAAACAACGGGATCCAACAATAAAAAGCAGAACCTACCTACAACCGAAAGAAACAAAAAGAGGAGAAAAAATTACACAAAAAAGCAAAAAAACAAGCCAACGAGTAACCTGAGAGGAACTACAGGTTCAACTAGAATTTTGGAACAGAATCGTTAGGCAATAATCCCAAAGGATAACACCATTACGGAACGTCTTCGAGATTCCAATCATACACAGAAACTTGGATATCCAAGAACCAAACCTTCGCAGAACTCGCCTTTTTTTGGTAAACCGAGTTGGTACAGTGACCCGATATCAAGTTGGTTGTTGCCAAAACCTAGAGAATTGACCTGGAATCAAAGAGCCACCCAAGTTGGACTCAGCACCCACTAGACAATGGTCCATCGTTTCCTGTAAATTGTTACATATCAGACAAAGAACCAAATCCATATCAATTCCACGATCCCTCAAAGTCGTACGGACTAGAAGCCTTATGCGAGGAGTCCTCCAAGCGGGATGTTGATCTTTGAGGGTAACAAATTATACTAGCGGGTTTCTGAATGTATGTTATCTTTGGTAAGAGTAATTACATAATCAGCTAGAGCCATTGCATCGTATCTAAGGGATTCCTTGGTTCGGGTCGCTCTCATTACAAATCGATAAAGCATAATTGACCAAGAACTGCACGTCAACGAAATTCACTTGAGAGATGTTCGTTTCCTCTATAGTCTATATCAGCAGATGATTAACTACTTCAAGAAAATCCCATATCAGATACAGAAAATGTATTATGCTTGTGGGATTATCTAATGTTGGTATCAGGATAATAAGATTCCCCTCAATGAGTTCAACTGACTCTTGGACGGTCAATGATGAATTTGATACTCACTTAAACTTTAAGCCCAGTAACCAAAATCCTTGAATTTTAGATCGAGTTTTTGTTCAGTGATTTTTACATATTAAATTTGAATTGAAGGACATAATGGTCATTTTCTCACTGTTCAAGGTCAATGTGGTAGAAACTAATGCAAAAGAAATTAACCGCATTAAGGGTGCTCAAAATACCGACGAACTCGGCCAACTCAACCCGAAAAGACCCTGAAAAACTCAACCCGAGTTAACCTGACTCATAGTTGATACAAAATTATGTCAATCCGCATCTATTCGGTTGGAATTGAATTAGGATTAGGATTATTCGAACCCAACCCGACTCAATCCAATGAATCCGATGCACTTCTATACTATAGATTTAATATGATTTTTATATCTTTGATTAACATATATACGTTAGATATTATACCAATACATAATTATATGTATTCAAAATTATATTACAATATCAACGGTAATTTTACTTTTTTATTTGCATGAAACTTCAACTTTTTTTTTTGAGTTTGTTAGTGTTTTTTGTATGTTATTTTTTTTTTTACTTCGTTTAAACATAAACACTTAGCTAGATTGTAAAATGATATATCAACGTTTCAATCCGATCAACTCGACCAACCTGTACGGTTTGGATTGAGTTGGGTTGTAATTTTCCTTCGATTAGGTTGGGTTGAGATTTTTTAAACCGTAAACATTGATTTAGTTTGTTCAAAGACCTTCAACCTGTCGAAAATAACCCATGTGCAAGAATATAATAAACAAATAAACCAATATATAATAAACAAGATTCGTGGTTTTGTGTGAGTCAAATTTTCAGGTGAAAACCCAATAAAATAAAGTTACAAGACAATAAAATGCAAACATCATTGACCTAAAATGTCGTCCATTACATGTTGCAAGAATATATATTTAATTAGTATAAGAGTACTTGTATAATGTAACGAAATATATCATGATTTTAATGTTTTATTTTATTCATTTTTTCTGTTGATATAATACGGTTTTATGTGGTTTTAGAAAACGATAATATTTTTATTTTTGAATGAAAAATAAATTTGAAAAAAACTTAACGATATTAGCATTAAATTAATTATTTAAAAGTTTTCATTTTCCGTATGATTTCTTTAATTCAATTTTTTTTTATTATAATTAGAAGGGTAGTCGAACCAGACACATCTTGATTTTAATAATTTATTTTATTATTTATCTCAGTCGATGTTATAATTTTTTGTATAAAATAATATATTATAACTATCTAAAATTCATAATGTTTTGTGTAATTTTTTAATTCAATTTTTTTACTATAATTTAATTTAGATTCACTAACGAAGTAACTTATATTTGGTTTAATAATATAATTTTCTTATAAAGATAATAATTAATTATTTTGACAAAACTCGATAATTATCCTAATTATGTTTTAATTTTTTTATATTTTAAAATTAAATGTTTATCCTCTATTTGATTATGTTTATTCACAGTTAATTACACAAATTCAAACATCGAGCTTTATTAAGCTATAGTTACGCACAATTTACTTGTAAACTCAAGTTTTAAGTAATATGCATTAATAAACAGTACTTGATGCCTAAAGAATGGTTTTTAAGAGTTTTTGTCAAATGTTTTATAATACAATATAGATTTAGATTTAACAACAAAGTAATTTATTTTTGTTTATAAGAATGATAATTAAGTATTATGTTAAAACTCAATAATTATCATAATTATATTTTAATTTTTTATCTTTAAAATGATATGTATATTATGTATTTGATTGTGTTTACATACGGTTAGTTATACCAATTCAAAAATATAGCTTTAATAAGTTGTACTTACGTACAATTTACTTGTAATATTAAATTTTAAGTAATATGCTTCAATAAACAATACTTAATGCATAAAAAATAGTTTTTAAGAGTTTTTATCAAATACTTTATAATATAGTATATTATTATCCTCACAATGTATGTAACTTTTAAACCTCTTTTGAAAAGTAAGTGATGAAATTATTAATTTGATAGTAATATAAAAAAAATGATATTATAAAAAATTAATTATAAACTAATATATATTTTAGATTATTTTCTGCTCAAACAAAATTAACATCGTATTTGGTGGTCTAATTATCGAGTTTACGTAAAAATAACAAAATAAAACTGATTTCAGTTTTGATTTATTTTATCAGTTTCATACTCAAACAGGTTAATATCAAGTATTTTTGTTTCTTATGTTTACAATGCTTTAATCTGAAAAGATTAAATAATAAAAATTAAAAGAGCATATTCAACAACTATGTTATATTTTCTTTAAACAAAGTATTAAAAATTAAAATCTCTAAAAAGAATTATATTCAACTTCAATAGCTACTTTATTTTAACAATTCTAACATTAATTATATTATTATAATATTTAATAGGATATTATTTATTTCTCTTAAACATTTAATTTAAATACCTTTTATTGATGAAAAAATAATTAAAGTACTATTTCTCTTTTCTAGGTAGTTTTAATGATTTATTTAAAATTTAAATTAACATTGTTGAATTTTTTTTTGACAGATTTACAAAATTTATATTTTTTATTCATTAACCTGGATATCTAACTCGCTATGCAAGCCGATTAATCCCATGAACGACCACTTGTTTAATGGGTAGCCCGGAGTCACTGTATTTGAACTTTCGTGGTCACAAGAGAATTTTTATTCCTTCTTAGATTTGAAC